AGGTAGCGGAAATAAAGGTAGCGGAAATAAAGGTAGCGGAAATAAAGATAGCGGAAATAAAGATAGCGGAAATAAAGAGAGTTGAAATAAAGATAGCGGAAACAAAGATAGCGGATAAAGATAGCGGAAATAAAGATAGAAGAAATACAGGTAGCGGAAATAAAGGTAGCGGAAATAAAGGTAGCGGAAATAAAGATAGCGGAAATAAAGATAGCGGAAATAAAGAGAGTTGAAATAAAGATAGCGGAAACAAAGATAGCGGATAAAGATAGCGGAAATAAAGATAGAAGAAATACAGGTAGCGGAAATAAAGGTAGCGGAAATAAAGGTAGCGGAAATAAAGATAGCGGAAATAAAGATAGCGGAAATAAAGAGAGTTGAAATAAAGATAGCGGAAACAAAGATAGCGGATAAAGATAGCAGAAATAAAGGTAGCGGAAATAAAGAGAGTTGAAATAAAGATAGCGGAAATAAAGGTAGTGGAAATAAAGATAGCGGAAATAAAGGTAGCGGAAATAAAGATAGCGGAAATAAAGGTAGCGGAAATAAAGATAGCAGAAATAAAGATAGCAGAAATAAGATAGCAGAAATGGGAAAAGTCACAATAAAAGCCTTCGTGAGGGGCAGCAACTGTTAAGGAGAAAAACCGAAATGTAAACCACTTTAACGAATAAGGTAGGAAGCCGTGGCCATTCCGAGGAGGACCGGAACACTGGTTGTAAACTAATGTAAACCAATGTAAACTAATGTAAAACTAAAGTAAAGCAATGTAAACTAATGTAAACCAATGTAAAGCTAGACTAAAGTAATGTAAACTAATGTAAACCAATGTAAAACTAAATTAAAGCAATGTAAACTAATTTAAACTAATGTAAACCAATGTAAAGCTAGAGTAAAGCACTGTAAACTAATGAAAACTAATGTAAAACTAAAGTAAACCAATGTAAACCAATGTAAACCAATACAAGCTAAGGGTGTGTCTATGGAATTTGAACGTAATTAATTAAATGTTCATTACAGTATTGGGTTGTTGTTTTTTTTTTTTTTTTTGGGGGGGGGGGGGTGGCTGGGGCTGGGAATGGAAGTAGTTTGTCAACATTTCATCCATCACTTTGTAAAACCAGGAGCATGTTTTTTTTTTTGGGGGGGGGTGGATCGCTGGGGCTGGGAATGGAAGTAGTTTGTCAACATTTCATACATCACTTGTGAAAACCAGGAGCATGTTCTTGTTCATTCCTTTCTTAAATAAAACGTTGGTGATGTTCCCTACGGCCTCATCTAATGCATTCACCATACCTGGGGAGACACAAGCCGATGAAATTAGGTCACCATACCTGGGGAGACACAAGCCAATGAAATTAGGTCACCATACCTGGGGAGACACAAGCCGATGAAATTAGGTCACCATACCTGGGGAGACACAAGCCAATGAAATTAGGTCACCATACCTGGGGAGACACAAGCCAATGAAATTAGGTCACCATACCTGGGGAGACACAAGCCAATGAAATTAAGTTACCATACCTGGGGAGACACAGACAAGATGAAATTAGGTCACCCTTTTAAGGGGACACATACAAACAAAAAGTAGCTCACCATACCTGGGGAGACACAGACAAGATGAAATTAGGTCATTCTTTTAAGGGGACACATACAAACAAAAAGTAGCTCACCATACCTTGGGAGACACAGACGAAAGGAAATTAGGTCACCATACCTGAGGACACAGTCTAAAGGAACTAAGTTGTGTCTTCAGTTAAAACACAAACGAACAAGAAATGTTCCACAGATGTTTGTTCTAATCGCCATAATCGCGAAATGTTTCATTTGCCATTCTAACAGTATCATCCAAAAAAATCCAAGACACGGTAAGGATTTCCAGTACACCCGGATCTATATACTGTACAATTGTCCAATATATCGGGATCTACATACTGTAAAGTTGTCCAATACACCTGAAACTACATACTGTAAGTTGTCCCTTCCAACTGAATCTACATACTGTAAGTTGTCCCTTCCACCTGAATCTATATACTGTTAAGTTGTCCAATACACCTGGATCTACACACTGAATCGTTGTCCATTACAACACAATCTACTACTGTAAAGCTGTGCAATACACTTGGATCTACAAACTGTAAAGTTGTCCAATACACCCGTATCTACAAACTGTACAGTCGTCTAATACACCTGGATCTACATACTTTTAAGATGCCCAAATGAATCTGTACACTAACACTATGTTCCGCCAACTTCTAAATCGCACCTCTGAACTGCAGCTAACCATGAGTGATTCAAATCCAAGTACTTGCCTAAGTAAATTCTCCTGGTCGGGAAGTGGACATTTTTAAAGTTCTCCGTGTACCTCAAAGGGGCCTGGAAAAAAGAGTCGAAACAAACTTGCAATGAATTATTGTGACCTAGTTATAAATTTAGACAAACATATTCTGTAACGATCATCAGCCCTAACATCAGTTATTTCTTAACAGCGTTCTTTGTTAGTGAAATAATGAATGGAACAAGATATATCTAGGCTTGAAAAGAGAAGGCTGGATAATTAAAAAGGACGTTTCGGCCAGATGCCTTCTTCAGCAGACAACACAAAACAAGAAAGAACAGATGCTTTAAATAAAAATTTTAAAAGGAATAAAATTATGTTTTCGAAAAAAAAAACTCAATAATTTCAGTTTAGCTCAATATTTAGAGCAGGGGGCTTTCTATATTATTGTTAGAAACGAAAGTTAATTTGTGTAAAAAAATAAAACGGGCGCCAAATATAATTCTGTGGTTCGTACTGACAAGGCAAACAAATTTAAATTCTTATTAATGCAACATTTTAAAAGAAAAAATTGAGAATATAAATGGATGAAAATTAATGAGGATTTGAAAGGTTCCATATTGTGGTATTGTAACCGAAAATCATTTCAACGGAGCACATCAGAAGTGTCCTGCTCAGATCTAAATTCTGGCACTCATACACAAGAGTGCAGAATGAAAAACAAATTAATGCAGATTTTCGTATACTATATAAGCGACGAAAGTATATTACGAACTGTCCAAGAGCTGGGTTTTTTTTTAAACTAACAAAAAAATAATTCCAGAGCAAAGAATTAGGGTGGGGGGGGGGGCGGGGTTATTGACTAAAAAGGTACCGTAATGGGCGTATGTGGAGCTTGGAATGACAGGAACAAAAATAATGGAACATCCGGATCATGTCGATTGATGATGTCAATGGCACGAGTCGTGTAGGCGTGCTGGGGGGAAGAAAAGACAATAGACAAGGTAAAAGAGAAACAATGAAAATGTGTAATCCTAGTGGTGTATGCATACTTGGAAATGATAAAAATAGACAAGATACAAGTTACAGATCAAGAATGATTACATCACTGGCACGGACGCTGTGGGGCATGCTGGGAACATAGACAAGGCACACAATTATACGTGCAGGAAACGCTCTTCAATATCGAAGTCAACAATGGAAGAAAAAACAAACCCCTATCCCAATTGTTTTGAAGCAGTTAAATGACGTCATGGGTAACATTTAATAATATACTGAGATTATCTTCTTCTTCTATATTTTGAGGGCCCACGATCAATGTATTGATCATTCTGGCTCCTATAAGCTTTTCACAACACTAAAATTCATGTCACTTTCAGATGATAATGAGTCGATACCGATAGTATGTGGCACACAATTGAATTAGTATGTAAAAATCTCTGCTATTATTTTATTTCCTTTTCCTCGTCTTCTCATCTCAGTTTGCATTGTATCAGTAATTTGATCAAAGGTATTTATGCAAAATTTGTCTCTTGCATTTAGGCTTAGGTGTACTTCTGGCCCATCGCCTTATTTGGGCTGTTAAATTTTAGAGTTAGCTTGTAATTCCCATCGGGTATATTTCTTTATTAGTAGCTGCTTCATATTTTTTTTTAATGATCTGATGAAGAACACAGTTGATCCCCTTATGATTCATAGAGCTATGCATATGTTTTTTAGTTCACATCCTCATTCAGTAGAATTTATAAATATTATTTGCTTATCAAGTATCTCCCTTTTGATTCTGATTACACAATCAAGTGCTTCTAAAATGATTGAGAAAAAATTAACTGCATCTGTCAACAGGGATCCGGTCAATTAGATTTAATGAATTTAATGGGCTGTACAGTGTACATACATATGAAGGCTGTACAATGTACCCTAAGTCCTAGCCATTGAAATCTGGTGAATTCTTTTAAATGCAATAATAATTTTATTTTTAAATGCCGTCCTTTCATTTTATTAGCATGGAAATGGAATAAACTAATTTCAATGTTCACTATTTTTTCTCAGACCATTCATGTGGACTTGGGAAAACTAGAAACTATTCCAGAAGGCCAATAGTGTTCAAAGATTTCCCACATTTTCTTTTTATTCCACTTGCAAGAAGGTTATACTACCCTGAGTGATTCCCCTCCTCTGACCGATAAACGATCTTGCTGGCTGCCGTCCATGGTTTGCCTTGTGAGAGTTATGTTTGTGGGGTGGGTGAATATACATTTTTTTGCTCTTCTTTATTTCATAAATGTATTTTATTTTAATGTCATGATTATGTCTCTTTTGATAACATTTTTATGTACAGCGCGGTGAGCCCAGCCCTGGGCTTGGGTACCGCGCTATATAAGACACCTTAATTATTATTATCATTATTATTTTTAAAGTTATTTTTTTTATTGTTTTCGGTCTTGGATGTACTTGATCGTTATGTGACGTGGTTAGCCCCGCATGCAGTGGGTGGAGTGTCTTTTCGAAAAGCTTTTCATTTAATTTTTAATAAAGAGGGTTGTGTTTGATTATTCATTGGCTCTGTCGTGGTTGGACTAATTTTTTTTTTATATTGTTGGATTTCTTTGTTAGTGGTTGGGAGTCTGTGGTCGTTCGTTGTGGTAGACCAGTTTGTTAGTGGTTGGGAGTCTGTGGTCGTTCGTTGTGGTAGACCAGTTTGTTAGTGGTTGGGAGTCTGTGGTCGTTCGTTGTGGTAGACCAGTTTGTTAGTGGTTGGGAGTCTGTGGTCGTTCGTTGTGGTAGACCAGTTTGTTAGTGGTTGGGAGTCTGTGGTCGTTCGTTGTGGTAGACCAGTTTGTTAGTGGTTGGTACATTTTCGTTTGTGGTGGGACTTTTTTTTTTAATGAACCATTTCTGAATTTTTAATTTTTGTTTGCATTTTGAGGGAATAGTAAGATAACTTGACCAGGTTGTTTCTTTGAACAGGATGTGTTTATTTTTAAAGCGGCTCTCAATTGAATGGATTTTTTGTTTTTTGGACTACAAAGCCATAAGGGCACCAAGCAAACAAAACATACATTAAATAAGAAGAAGCTGATGTAATTACCAATTAATATAAATTTATAAACAGTAAAAAAAATAATTGCGGCAAGTTCTTATTCTTCTATATATTATATTGATTCTATATGAACAATTTATTGATCATTCTGGCTCCTATGCATGTAGAGGGGATTTGCAATGTTTCTGTGCCCGGTGTTGAAGAGGACATTTCATTAGACGCAAGGGATACTCCGTGAGGGTATCCTGACCTGGGGATTGGAAGGCCAGATTGTGTTATTTTGTTTGTTTGTTTCTTTGTTGTTGTTTTTATTTTCATATACTTGTTACCGTTGAATAAATACCGTCAGCACCCAGCCAAGCTGTATCGTTGAACCGGAAGTCCTTGCCCGTAGCAAAGCTCTGATACCTCATTCTAAGAGAGCTCTTCATTAGAGTTTTGCCCGAGCCAGCGACTGTCTTTGAGCTGGCCACTTGGGTCTCCAGATATCCACCTAGCAGACAAAAAATGTAAGCTTTATGGTTTATTACACTTATTATGTGTGTTTTAACCTTTAAAACAAATGAAAAGGATAGCGCTGTCAGTTTCAGCCGTTGATAAGCAACAGTCGCCATGGGCTTCGTCTGTCGCTCTATGTCCATCAGTTACCCATGTAGGTAAAGAAGTTATAAGGAACTAGAAGGGAGAGGTAAGTGGAAGCTGGAAGTAGAAAGCCTAAACGTTCTTCTTGTGTTGTCCTGACTGTCTATTTCAAGCTTGCACATAACTTTTTTTTGTTCTATTTCTTTCAAAGAGCTTAAACGCAGTTCTATTTCCTTCACGGAGCTTAAACGCAGTTCTATTTCCTTCACAGAGCTTAAACGCAGTTCAATTTCCTTCACAGAGCTTAAACGCAGTTCTATTTCCTTCACAGAGCTTAAACGCAGTTCTATTTCCTTCACAGAGCTTAAACGCAGTTCTATTTCCTTCACAGAGCTTAAACGCAGTTCTATTTCCTTCACAGAGCTTAAACGCAGTTCTATTTCCTTCACAGAGCTTAAACGCAGTTCTATTTCCTTCACAGAGCTTAAACGCAGTTCTATTTCCTTCACAGAGCTTAAACGCAGTTCTATTTCCTTCACAGAGCTTAAACGCAGTTCTATTTCCTTCACAGAGCTTAAACGCAGTTCTATTTCCTTCACAGAGCTTAAACGCAGGCCTTTATTTATTATCCTTCAAAGTATTAACACCTTTTGGCCACGGTTTTTCTTTACTGTTTTGTTTAATGACTATGTCGGATAAAGAGAGAAGTAGAGAGAAGTAGAGAGAGTGAGAGAATGATAGAGTGAGAGGAGAAATAGAGAGAATTAGGCTTTGAGAGATAACGGGTGAAAGAGTGAGGGAGAGAGATAGAGAGAGAGGGACAGAGAAAAGAGAGAGAAATAATCACAGAACTAGAGAGTGGAGGTGAGCGACTGAATGCAACTCACCTTTATCGTGCTCATAGTGATCATTGCTCCCAATGTAGATGCCATAGAATGAGTCAAAGCCCCGTTGAGTCGGTGTGTACTTTTCATTACAATATCCGAGGTGCCATCTGTGGGGGCGGGGGGGGGGTGTTGAGTACAGCAGTTGTCAAACCGTTTCAATGGTTATGCTAGGACTGGTCATTGCTCCCACGTGCACCCGATGATGTCTCTAATATCTGGTTTACAGTCTGAAACATTTTATCGATTGTGCCCCCCCCCCCGCTGATTTTTTAAAATAATTTCTGTGGTCAATGGGTTAAAACTTGATAGTGGGGTG